CGGAAGAGTGCCTGTATTTGCGTCTTCTGACAGTACAGCATCGGAATCGCTATCCACTGCCTCGGCTGTTGCTAGCAGCCTTTGGCGTAACGCCTCAGAGAAGGTGGCTGGTGTCCAGTAGACGACCTGATGAAAGGCTTCGTGTCACTACTCTGACCCTCGTTGACGAACATTCACCAACTTCCTATAGTACTCTAACCATTCTCTGTTTCCTTTTCAGTTCTATTACGCCAGTTGTAAGTGTTATAACGGATGCCTAGGCCGAGATATTGCCGCCCAATGACGTCCCGTGTGAGCCCTACAAAGAGAGAACACGACAAGAAGGGTGCAATAGCAGAAGTCTTTTAGTTTTCTATGTACAACAAATTTTAGGGAAACCAACCTGTATAACGATGTCCATTGAGCCAATCGGAGTTCCTTCTGAGATGGTGGCCAGTCCCATTGGTTGTTTTGGCTCAGTGGATGACCGTGATTTAAAATCTGAATTATCGATTGATTGTCTTGCTCGCGCATAGGCCAATCGATAGCCTATTATGGGCGCGGCTTCTTGCTGCTTCCATGCTAGCCGTTGGGCCCCTCCTAACAGTAAGATGAATTAAGCCAACTGTAGGGTTCTCGTTAATTCTGACTCCTCGTCTGTTTGGCTCATAATTACTGAATCTCGCGGCTCTATTTATTCTGCTTAAGGCACTTCTTAGGATCTATGATCAGTGATTCGTATCGACAGGGTGTGCGAGAATAAAACTCAAGGTCGGTCTAGTTTCACTTTTATTTAACCAGACTGTTTATGGGTTCACACACCTTCTTTTCCAGGTGCCCCGTTGGTAGTTCACTTCGACCCTTTCTTTATCGTAACCCAGTCTCTGCTGATAAACATTTAGATCGCATATATTTATTTTCAGAAGGCAGCCTCTCCCTGCATAAGCAGCTGAAAGTGCTTGGATACTCGGTGCAGAGTAATTAATATTAGTGTGCCTGGTATTCGTCTGATGTATTCTAGATTGGTTGTTTAGGAAATCCTGTCTGGGGAGTCAGCTTTGTATACCGAGTTTTTTTCACAAATGAAGTGTAATTACAGTTTTTCGCTAACTGGATTTATGCAATTTTGGATGTTAGGATTCAAACCGAAACAATTACATCAGGTGGAATATTTTGAGCCTGTGTCTCTTGTGACTCAACCAGGTGACCTGTTTTGAACTTGCCTTCAAATTTTCTCTCCAGTGGTATCTATTTATCTGACCACTTTGCGGATTGCCTTAGCAGGCATTTCATATAGACGTTTAGATTTGTCCTCCTTTCTCCTATTTCTGTTGTGTTGTCCTTTGTTTACCGTCAAGTCTGAGGAGCTGATCAAAAAGGAAATGCTGGTTATGCTGCATTATGACAACTTGCACAACCCGCCCCCAGCCCTGCTGACTGACATCACGCGTACCGCCGATGGAAAACTGCTCAGCGCCACGGCTCAGCAGAAGAGACTGCAACAGCTCAATGCCACTCATGAGGCTCATCTGAAGGAGACGCCCTTCGAGGACTTTGATGACGAGGATCTCGCAGAGGTACGTGCGCCTGCCACCAGATTTCTGCCCGTCTACCCTGCTGCCTGAGGCGTAGGGTTTGTTTTACACATAAGTA